AGGATATATTAACACAGACATAACTGTATACTTACCTTTAGAATACTTACATATCTCATAATATTTAAGTGAATGAGGCCTTTGTGTTTGATGCATATGATAAATGAATACATCAGTATGTGATCTAAACTTTGGACAGAAGCTGGGCTCAGTTGTGCATTACTATAATTCCAGGGGCAATGTTGAGGCAGAAGCATAATTTCAAAGCCAGCCTCAGCAGTCTAGAAAGGTCCTAAGCACCTTAGCCAAAACCCTGTCTCTAAATTTTAAAAAGAGGTGGAATGGACTGAAAATGTTGGTCTGTGATCAGGTACCCCAAGGTACAAACCCTGGAACCAGAAAAAAATATGAACATACTTGGATAAATCTAGAAACACTTGATGTCTCCTTCTTTTGCAGAGTTAGTTTTTGCAGTTAGTGTGTTCACTTACTCTCATATTCACTGGGAGAAAGGAGATTTCTTTTTCTTGCTACCATGCTGGAATTTCACTTTCAGAAAAAATAAGAGTTTCTGGTCATTTTAAAGCAACAATGAACTGAGGTCTTAATTTCTGCATGGTAAGGGAAATTCATGGCTTCTTCTCATCCCTGCTTTCTCCAAAATGTCTACCTTTGCACAAATAGATTTTTAAGTAACAATGAAAATAACTTTATCTAATTCTCAGATGTACAGATGATTAAAATGTTACTATAAATTTCATACTGGTAGGTGTTTGAGTGGCCCCATGTTTTCAAATCAATTAAACATAATGAAGTAAAGTCTCCATTTTCCAGAAATAACATAAAAGAATGCTACTTCAGCACTATCATTTTAAATTTTTATTGTAGAATGTTGTAAATGAATGATTATATATGTATGGATATAGACAGGTAGATAGTTGATAGACAGGTAGATAGATAGATAGATAGATAGATAGATAGATAGATAGATAGACAGATAGATAGAACCCTAGGAACTCTGAGCTTTACTTAAATGTCTCGACCCCTTGCCCGCAAGGAAGACGCAACTCAGGAATCTTCTTTCAGCAGTTTATTCAGGCCCTTGATATTTCTTCTTCTCTCCCTCGGATGCCCCTCCCAGCCTTAATAAAGCATCTCAAGCCCCAATGTGAAGCTGCCACGTGGAGCTTTCTCATAGGGTGGTGAAAAACCATGCGCCAACTCTCCCAAATAAGGAGTTGTTTGTCACAGACAACAGCGGAGCCAGCGCCATCTTGTAATGGCGACCATAGTCTGCAGAAACGGCAGAAGCGGCTCACCACACTTAAATCTTTTCAATTCACAAAAACAATGTTTAATATACATATTGTGAAGACATTCTGTAAATCTTCACCAGTACATATATTACCTTAAAATAAAAAGGTATATGAAAAGAGATGTGCATCAGTTTTTTGTATAAGGACATCATAGAATAACAGGTCCATGTGCCTGTGGTCATCTGTGATCCATGAAACAGCTAACAGATGTGCCCTTATGTAAAATACTTCTAGTGTCTTTCCCAAGCTTGTCCTGGGAGCAGACCAAATATGCTAATGAGTGAAAAAATAAAATTATCATTTTGCTTATTCACCCCATTTCAGAAAAAATGAACGTTTACCATAATTTTAGTAGAATTTTCCTTTCTGTGAAATTCTACATGTCCTCAGTCATGTAGGGAATGTAAACATGTTGCCCACATAGAAGTGCAGCTCAGCATAATATGGGAAGGGGCAGGGGAAGGAGGATTCAGAGGAGGGGTGAGGGGCATCAGGGCACAGCTGCAGGGCTGGAGGTCAGAAGTTCTCATGTCTACAGCTCAATGTGGTCACCTGAGTCTGCATCAGGTGATTACATGTGACCAAATAAGGGTTTTGAGACTTTGCACACTTACAAATCATACAATTTGAGAAAATCAAAATGTTAATTCCCCAGTGTGTTCAGGAAGCAATGTAAACATGTATTGACTTCTAATACGAGATTCCCTAAGTCCAGATATTATGTCAGCTAAAAGTTAAAATTTAAAAAAAATAGATCTGCATTTCAATGTTTAAAGGAAGCCTGTACATTACACTCTGAGTTCTCACGTGGCACCAAAAATGTTCACACATCTTTAAGATGTCCACTTTCTTTAGCACTTTTGGTTTTTCTACCAGGGATTGAATCCAGGGCTCTTTAACTATGAGGTACATCCCTAGCCCAAGTTTAATTTATTATTTTGATACAGGGTCTCACCAATTTACTATCTGGCCTTGAACATGACATCCTCCTGTCTCTGCCTCCTGAGTAGCTGGGATTTCCTTAGTGTCTTTTACATCCATAGGCTCATGAACTAATTTAGCTTTAAGACTTTGTATTCAGGTGTTATTTTGGTTCAGTATGTGAATACACAAATTACATCTCATTTATTACTTATAGTAGATGCTTGGGTTAAAGTAAATACATATGTTTTCCAGGAAAATATTCTGCCAGTAAGTCATTATAAAATTCTCTAGAATCAGAGCTGGAGATGTAGTTCAGTAGTAGAAAATGTATCTGGTATATGTGAGGCATCAATATAGTAAACTCAAGTATCAATTTTACATGTGGACCCCTTGAGTCTGGAGAAATGCAATTGCATTCTTGAAGGAAGATGGAAAACTTGGAATCCAAAAAGACTCCTATTTCAAAGTTAAGTTGGATACTTACACTGTAATAAATTCCTCAAGTGGAGTAAATGTGTATCTATTTTAACTGTGGTTCTGTTTACCACAATAATTCCACATATTTAAGGATTTTGTTGTTGTTGTTGTTTTGTTTTGATTTGGTACTGGGGCTTGAACTCAGGGAAACAGAACAAGCATGTCCCATCCCCAGCCATATTTTGTGTTTTATTTATAGACAGGGTCTCACTGAGTTGCTAAGTCATCACAGTTGCTGAGGCTGGCACTGAGTTCACAATCCTGTAGCCTCAGCCTCCCAACCTGCTGGATTACAGGAGTGTGCCATCATGCCTGGCTACACATATTTTAGTAGAAGAATATTGAAATGTATTTATGCTAGTATTTGATACTGGACTTGGATCACATACATCAAATTGTGATTTGATAACAAAAATAATTAACATAGATATCTGTGTGGAGGAATCAAATCGTCCTAAAATCCACTCAGTATTCTCTGAACAGAGATTCCCAACAGATTGTAATTCTGGTAATTTTTTAGCCACTCTGAGTTGCTGATAGAGATGATCAACTATTAAGAGATTTCTATGAATGAGGATCTGCAGAAGTCTAAAAAAATGAACAATTCCACAGAGATTACTTACTGCACAGCAAGCCTTCCCTGTATGGAAAACATGCTTCATCCTGTTTCATGCATGGTATCTCATGTACAGACGTGATGAGGTTTTGTTCAGCTTATAGATGAGACAAGCCCAGAGCCCAGGTGCATGGGCTTCTCAAAATTGAATACTTACACTTAAGTGGAAGATTATATGGGTATATTCAAGCCATCTGACTTCAGAGGTTGCAATACTTAGCATTTTCTCTGTGAATACATGAACAAAATGCATGTGTTCATGAACAAACCAGAATAAAGGTAACAGGAAGCTAACGTAAATATGCATGGCCTAAGACATTGAGAATCTTTGCTTAGGAGGGTTTTCTTTCTAATTAAACCTCCATAATTTCAACTGACCCAAAAGTACATAGTCCTTTCTACAGGAAGGACACATACTTCATCCTTGCAGTCAGATATCACCAAGAAAGATTCAAGGTTGTGTCAGGGAAAGATTTTCTATAACATTGGAGCTTGTGAATAAGAAATATATGACAGATGTGATCATTTTTAATGCTCAGGAAATCCTTTTGTACTTTGCATAAAATGTAATCCCGCCTTGATTGGGAAATGATGGGAAAAGAGAGAGTAAAGAATGGTTTCCAGGGAGTGTCAGCAAAACTTCAGTTAGAGGGGATAGGCCAACAAATTTGCCTCCTGGCAACATTGTTGGCTGAATTGGATGAAATTTAATATTTGTGATAATGGGTTTTCTTACTTTTCTCCCTAAGGCATGTACTTTATGATTCCTTACCCCAAAGGAGGAGAAAAAAACACATGGTACATATTGTTATTAACTTAAGAAGCACCTTTTACTCTGAAGTTGGGATTGGAATCTTGGCCAATACCATCCTCTTTCTGTTCCACATCATCAAGTTCCTGTGTGACAAGAGGCTCAAGGACACGGACTGGATCATTGGTTTCTTGGCCCTAACCCACCTCCTGATCCTGCTCAACACAGAATCACTCTGGTGTGGATTTTATTTCCTCTGGATGTGGGATATCTGGATCATTCAGTGGATATGTTTATGTTTCTTGAGAAGCCTCCACACTGATCTTTATTATTATTGTACTAATTTACATTGCCACAATAAATGAGCTTTTTTCTTCCACATCCTCACCAGCATTTAATTTTGCATTTTTGTGGCTAACTCACTATTCAACTGGGGACCGGGGAACAGGTCACTGTCACAATGATTTGCATTTCCCCAATGAATAATGACATTAAACATTTAAAAACTACCTGCTGGCTCTCCTGATCCTTCACCCCTGGGTCCATCAGTTGGAAGAATTACTATTGCTAAGAATCCAAATCCATGCAAAGTCATCAACCATCCCTATCAAAATCCCACTTATTTTTTTCCACAAAAGCAGAAAAAAATCCATCCTGATAGACATAGAAATTTCTTGCATTCTTTTTTATTTAACAAAAAGGAAAAAAAAAAGATTTATTACTTTGCTAGTCAAAAAGCCTGGGGAACTCCCATCCCAAAAGCTGTCAACTTGGGGTTGACACCAAGTAAAAATAAAATCCAGATATTGTGTCCACCTAAAACTAAAAAATAAATATTTTAAAATTTTTTTTTAAAATAAAATGAAATAAAATACCCCATTTCCTGTACTCCTTCAACACAGAGAGTACACGCACCAACCACTCCATGGTTCATTGGGACAAAGCTGGGTGGTGGCTCATGCAGGGGACTGATCCATCATGCAATGATTAAGCATTGACGATTCTTTCCCCACAAGTCTTTCAAAAAGGTGACACTTTGTTTTTCAGTACAGATGAAAACCAAAGGACTGATGGTTGCATAGCCATTGGCCACTATCATCTGGATACAGCAACAAACAGGGTCGTTTTTCCACATGGTTCTTAAGGAGGAGACAACACAGTCCAAAAGGTATATGAGTATGAAGAAACCCAGGAGAAGCAGGATGGTCCTAGTGGCCCTCTGTTCTGGGGAGGCTTTTGGAGACAGTCTGGTGGTGTGGAGGTGTTGGCACTGCCTTTTATGCCTACACAGGGGGATCACCATGTACCCACTGGAGAGGGCCATGAGCCCTATAAGGACGATGTCCCAAAATGCACCCAGGGCAGCAAATAAATGCCTGAGGAAGTAGCTCCTGTGTAATATTGTGCAGGAGTCACTGAGAAACATTAGATTGGGTGACGTCCCATTGGAGTCATCAACCACAGAGATGGAGAAGTGGGTGCTGAAGGACATATAGAAGACCCACAGGAAGAGAAGGGACCTCATGCTGTCCTGTGGGGACTTAGGCTTGAACTTTGCCAAAGGGTAGCTTCTGGGGCTGAGGGTGATAGCCTGCAGGACACTCAGCAGGCAGGTGGCAGAAATGTACAGGCCCCTCATCAACCTGTACCAGTTGGTGACTGATTTGAATCTGATGTCACCCCAAAGTCCCTGTTGAGGTGACAAAGTGTCTGCAGCTTGGAACCCTTAGGTGAGCAGCATCAGTAGGTGGGTCAGGGCCAAGAGACCGACAATCCAGTCTGTGCTCTTGAGCCTCTTGTCATAGAGGAACTTGATGACACGGAACAGAAAGAGGAGGGTGTTGGCCACAATCCCAATTCCCACTTCAGAATAAAAGGTGCTTCTTAGGTTAGCAACACCATTCAGCTTGGGGTGTTTTTCCATCTTTGGGGCCAAGGCTCATGGAGTACATGCCTTAGGAGAAAAGGAAGAAATTCATTATCATAAGTATTAAAATTCATCCATGTCAGCCAATACTGTTGCTACTAGGAAAATTTCTGTATTCCCAATGTCCCTTTCTCCCACCAATATGTAAATTTCCATAGCAGCCTCTGGAAGCCATTCCTCCTCTCTTTTCCCTTCATTGTGCAACCATACCTGGATTCTATTTGATGCAAACTACTGAACTTTCCTTTAGACATTAAAAAAAATGACCATATATCCTATAAATCATTCCTTGGGATTACCTTGAGTTTTTCATGGGGATATCTTACTTCAAGGGAGATTTCTTGTTCTGTTTCTATCCATCCTCATCCAGGAATATGGCACGTACACTAAACTGTACAATATTTGGTAAATTAAAATCATATATGTTGCATTGGAAAGAAGGTCCTCCAATGCAAAGAGAGTCAGTCTCTTGGACGACCCAGATTCACATTTGCTTTCTGTTGCCTTCATTCTGGTTGGTTTAGGAACACAGGTGATTTTCTTAGCACATTCTCCCAGAAAATACGAAGAATTGCACACTTTGAAGTCAGATGGCTTGAAAGGATCAATAAGATCTGCCATTTAAAGGGTGAGTATCTGACCTTGAGAAGCCGAGGAGCCTGAGTTCCTGTCACCTGTAAACGGCAGCCAGACTCATTGTGTGATTCCTGGAGATCGAGTGGCTGCAAGTGTGCAAATCTGGGAGGGCTTCCTGCCACCAGTGGTCCCTGTGCAATGGCTCTGTTTTTCACAATGGATGCTCATCTGTGTCACTTGGTAGACTTCACAGAGTTCTGTTAATATTGGATAACTTCTATCACCCACTCAGAGAGGCTAAAAAATTACCAGAATATTTGAGTCTGTTGGCAATCTCTGTCCAGAGACAGGTGATGGAATTTTAGGACTATTTGCATCCCACTATACAGCTGCATAATTTTAATATTTTTCTTATCAGAAATTGGCCTATGTGAGCCAAGTCCAGTTATTAAATATTAAGCTAGAACACACTTGGATTTTTTTTTCTAGTTTAATATATGGAATCTCTGGGGTCCACAGAACCATAATTCACATGGTTCCAGATTCACTGCATTTTAAGGTAATAATTAAGAATAAGGATCCAACCTAACCTGGAAGTCTGAGTCCTCTCAGAGTCCAGGGTTTCCTCCTTTCCAGAGAGAATGGGCATTTCTCTGGATTCAAGAGGTCCATGTATAAAATTGATACTGGATTTTTTTTTCTTGCAATGCTGAGGATCAAGTCTGGTACCACATACCAGGCAGGTAAGTTCTCTACCACTGAGCCCCACCCCACCTCGTATTCCAGAACATTTTGTATTGACTTACTGGCAGAGTATTTTCCTGGACAACATACATATTTCCTTTCATCCAAGCCTCTCCCATATGTAATGACTGAGATTTAATGTGTGTTTTCATGTTCGGAAACACACTATCCCCTGAAAAGCAAAGTCTTAAGGTTAAAGCAGCTCATGAGCTTATATCTGTGAATGGTAAATACTAAGGAATCCCCACAAGCTCATGAGGCTCGGACAGAAGGGTATCCAGTTCAGGGCCAGACTCAGCAACTGAGTCCTTATGCAACTGAGCAAGAACCTGCCTCTCAATAAAATATAAGAAGGGCTGAGAATGTAGTTCAGAGTTTAAGCATCTCTAGGCTCAATCCCTGATATAATAATAATAATAATAATAATAATAATAATAATAATAATAATAGTTTCAAAGAGCATACCTTGGTTTTTCATGGCGCTGTAGTTAACCCTCCCCACATGGCCTTCTGGATGCTAAGGTAAAGAGGGACAAATGAGATCGGGGAGGGGTACTGGTCCTGCTTTATTTGGGTTTGGGACTGAGGGGAAATTGGGCAGAAAACTCTAATTTGTGGCACACACTTCTATTTTGGAAACTATGAAGAGCACTAGGGAGAAACAGGTTGCACATCAGGGAGGGCATGGACATCACCAACCAGGTGACCTGCTGTGGGCAGATCCTCTGAGAAATACACAAGCTCCATGGATGTGGAGCAGAAAAACCCAGAGAAGACTTGGGTATGTTAATGAGAACTACTCTTGAAAAACCTACCTGAAAATAATCCATTGTTTTTGTAAATTGGAAGGATTAAATGACAGGTCAGAGTTCCCAATGGCAGTAAGACACTAACTGTATATTTCAAGTCTGTCTTGAGCAAAATAAGAAGAAAAAAATACTTTTCTAATATCCAGAAACTCCAAAGGAGCTTCATCATGAGACTGAACCATCATTATTGAGAGACCCACACGTACCTGCAGGAGAAGGTCTCCATGATTAACCGATTCATGACATGAGTCAAGTCCAAGATGCTTAAGGAAGAAGAAAAGGAGATAAGTTCACATTTTCTATGTAAATGCATTTGCATGAAAAGATGTACTTAGAAATCAAAACACGAGCAAAAAGACCTGCACAGGATGAGCTCCAACATCTCCAAGTCTTCTTTCTAATAATATTTATTAGAATCTCTTCAAATACATTCAATCTTAGGGAATTGGGAAGGAGAATAATGGAAATGAATAATGAAAAGAGAAAATATGAATGGCACTAGGTATTCTTCCAACCAAAGTGTTGCATATTACATTCCAGGGTCTTTTGGAGCAGCAAAAGGTGTTCACCATCAGGTTCAATTATCTTTTTCATATTTTATGTAAAAGGACGTCAGGGTCACAGCCTTCTCCCTTGTAATTTGATAATGAGCAGAACATATGCTTTGGACTGGGCACCATTGATTTTCAATTTAATTAAATGTAGGAAAAGAAAGATTTTATGAAAATCTAAAAATAAATGCTTGTAGCCATGGTAGGCACTAATTTTCCCTCTCAAATGTAACAGAGGATATAACTTCTGAAGGCTTCTTTCAGTGCATTTTACAGAGGACTATTGTCTGGTGGAGTTTAGTGGTCAGAGCTGGATGTCTCCTCTCAAGCAACCAGAAATTGCACTAATAGACCCAATTTGCCCCCTTCCCTTCTCCTCCAAGAAGCCCGTGCACCCACTCCCTACATCTGTGCAGTAGAGAGGCACCTACCTGGATGGATGGACGCAGGGCACTTGGTGCACCTGAGAACAGCCTGCCTAATTTTAAGGAAAGGGTGCTGTGAGCTCATCTCTCTGCAGCCTGTCATTTTAGCATCCTTAGTAAGGTGACAGGATCCCTTTGGGGAGCACAGGACTGTGGAGTCCCCAGAGGAACATTTCACTTGCCCTTGATTGGATCCCGTTGTGGATAACAGACATTTGGGGAGAGAGGTGCTCCAATTTTCTCTTAAATTCCCTTGACAAAAATTAGTTTGTGCTGACACAACTTTTCTCCATTGAATCCAAAGTTCAAATGAGCCCACAGCCATTCAATAGGATGTGATGCCTGAATGTGAGGAGAGCGAGAGTCCTGGTGTCCCCTGTGGCTCTGAAGGTCCCCTCACTGCAGTGTCTGATGGTCTCCCTCTTTCCCACTCCATTCTCATGTGGATCACCTGGCTTCTTCCTGTTACTGCTCAGGTACTTTGTGATTTTCATCCTGAAAATTTCAGGATTCAAGCTGTGCACCCCATGAAAGTGCACATGGAACAAAGCAGAAAAACAGGCAGATCTGGAGGCCAGGGTTGAGGTCCGATGGCAGGGAGGTCGAACAGACAGGACGCTCAGGCAGTCTGAGCCTGACTCCTCCCTGCTGGGAACCTGAGTGATCAACCCTCATCCTCATGATTGGAGAAATTAAAGGCATGCTTTTTTTCCTGAAAGGAACAATAAAATCTGTTTTCATCCTAAGTAATTTATACAGAATTATATAAGGATTTATGAGATCTGGTATAAAACAGAAATTCATGACCTACAAGCCTTTGAAATGTAATGTTAGGATATTCATTGGGTGATTTCTATTCTTTTGATAAAGGAGCAATAAACTTTCCTCTTAGAACTTCCCTCATAGTGTCCCAGAGAAGCTGATATGTTGTGTCAATATTCTCATGTACCCCTAAGGATTTTTTAATTCATTTCTGATTTCTTCTGATATCCATTGGTCATTCCGTAGTATGTTATTTAGTCTCTATGTGTGAGAGTAATTTCAATTTTTATTTTATTGTTGATCTCTCTTTTTAGAAATCATTTATTTATTTTTTAGGTGTAGATGGACAAAACACAATGCCTTTATTTTTATGTGTTGCTGAGGATCGGACCTGGGCCCCACCAGTGTTAGGCGAGTGCTCTACAGCTGAGCCACAATCTCAGCCCCTATTGTTGATTTCTTTTTTTTAAATTAGTTTTTAGTAGTAGCTGGACACAATGAATTTATTTATTAATATGTGGTGCTGAGATTTGAACCCAGGGCCTCACACGTGCTAGGTGAGCACTCTACAGCTGAGCCCCAACCCCAGCCCTTTATTGTTGATTTCTGAATTTATTCCACTAGGATGTGATAGAATGCAAGGTATTATCCCTATGGTTTGGTGTTTACTAAGAATTGCTTTGTGGCCTAAGATATGGTCTCTTTTAGAGAAGTGTCTGTGTTCTGCTGAGAAGAAAGTGTATTCCATCATTGATGCTTGAAATGCTCTGTATGTCTGTGAATTCCAAGTGACTAATTGGATCATGTAGTTCTGTAAGTTCTTTGTTGAGTTGATGTTTGGCGGATCTGTGCATCAGGAGAGCGGTGTGTGAATGTGACCCAGTATTATTCTGTTGTGACTGATATCATTTTTGAAGTGGAGAAGGGTTTGTTTGATGTATGCAGATGCTCCATTGTTTGGGGCATTAATGTTCAATATTTATGTTTTGTTGACGTCTAATTTTTCTCAGCCATCTGAAATGTCCTTCTGTGTCCCTTCTGATGAACGTTGGCTTGAAGTCCATTTCATCTGATATAAGGATGGACCCCCCTGCTTACTTACCTAGGAGACCCATGTAAGTAATGATTTT